CAGAATTCCCCAGCCAGCAAAGCAAAGCAAAGCTGGCTGGGGAATTCTGGGAGTTGAAGTCCACGCATCTTCAAGTTCCCAAGATTGAGGAACACTGGGCTACATGACATTCCAACCACCTCTCCAGTACCTGGGTTATCTCCGTCGCCCTTCCCACATCCTCCTCTGCCTTTCCATCCTCGCCCACCACCGCATCCCTAGATACCGCCAGCAGCAAAAGCCCTGCGTAATATAGCCCTCCATTCCCAAGGAGATCATCCTCCCAACCGCGACAAACTCTCCCGGCACTTACTGCCTAAAGCAGACATCTTGTAATCAAGGGGAAAGGAGCCCGCAGGCCTTCTGGGAAGTGTAGTTTTGTCGCGTTCTTCTCTCTGATTGGCTCGCGGAGACTGCGTTCCCCGGATGAAAGCTGTTCCCGCGCTGCCTTTCTTTTAATGTTCCACTGGGGTGTTGAGGGAGCGGTTTGCGCGCTGCTTTTCTCTCTGGCGAGGGCGAAGAGTTGTATTCTAATTCGAGTTTTATTCTAATTCAGGCCATAAATGATTAAGTTTTCCAATTCCGAATGTCCGTCGCCAGGCAACTGCGAGAAAACCGCTTTACTCTGACCTCGTTTGCAACCGGAGCAAAGAGAAATCCACACCACGCGGGGCGCGCTTAAAGGGCTCGCTCCTGTCTCTTCCTCGGACGAGAAAGGGTATTCGTGTGAATGTGGTTTTCAAGCGGGAAGAATTAACCGGGATTGGAATGGCGTAGGAGAATGCAAATGTTTTCATTTCTGACAACCACCCAGTCTTTTTTATTTTATAATGTCCTGAAAACCTGGATTCAAATTCCCTCTCCCTTTAGACTTTGTCATGTCAAATCTATACGGATGAAATGTGCTGTTGATTAGTCTAATCTTCTTCAAGGTAGCTCAACTTACACCAAGGAAAGTTTCTGTCCAAAATACATATTCCACGTACATATAATTACACCAAAATCAGGTTCTTACAATGTGCTAAGCCATGATTTGTTTTAACTATTATTGCATAAACTATAATTGGTTGGACTCACCTAAGCTAAACCCAAACCAAACATGTAATAATCACATACAAATATAAGGGAAAATGGTGTCTTTAATTATGCTAATGCCCATGAATAGCAAATACAATTGATCACAATGATTTGTGGATAAAAATGCAAAATGTATACCATCATGTTCAAATCCTAATGCAACATGTATAATCAACATGAATGTAAATTAGTTTGAATTTACTTGAGCTCATGTCACACTGTGGGATCTGTTAGACCTGAGCCAACCCCACATAAAAATGGCTTATTGCTGCTCTGTTAACTGCCCTTATTTCCTTCTGAATCATCAGGGTCTTTCCCAGACCTGAGTGAAGGAAATTTTCAGCATTGCTTGACCACAAGACTCCTGTT